CTTCGTATTGTTCAAAGTCTTTCTCAATTTCCATATTTCCAACAAAGGGACGATGCTACTGGGAAGCTAGGACTATCTGCCCTACAGAAATGTACTACTGCAATTAGGCGTTTGACATATGGTCTTGCAAACGATGCGATGGACGAATACCTCCGCATGGGCGCAACCACTGTGAGCCAAGCACTAGAGAATTTTGTAGATGGCATAATAAATTTATTCCAAGACGAATATTTGAGGCGGCCTACACGTGAGGATCTAGAACGGTTACTTCATTCTAGAAAGGAACGCGGATTTCCGGGAATGGTAGGAAGCATTGACTGTATGCATTGGGAGTGGAAGAATTGTCCTACGGCTTGGAAAGGACAGTATTCACGCGGACATGGAAAACCCACTATTGTTTTAGAGGCCGTGGCATCACAAGATTTATGGATTTGGCATGCTTTTTTTGGGGCTCCAGGTACGTGTAATGATATAAATGTTCTTGACCGCTCACCGGTGTTTGATGATATATTAGAAGGTCGAGCTCCACGACTCACGTACGAAGTCAATGGACATCAATACAAAATGGGTTATTACCTCACAGATGGTATATATCCGAAGTGGGCAACATTCATCCAATCAATTACCCGCCCACAAGGACCGAAAGCATCATTATTTGCTAGTTGTCAAGAAGCAGTGAGAAAAGATGTCGAGCGTGCTTTTGGAGTCTTGCAGGCTCGGTTTGCTATTATTCGAAACCCAGGTCTGTTTTGGGATAAAGAGCGAATGGGCAAGATAATGAGAGCATGTATCATATTGCACAATATGATTGTAGAAGATGAACGAGACGAAGATACTCAGTTCGATTTATCTGATTTCGTAGAAGGCGAAGGAAGCGGGACTTCTCAAGTAGATAACTCTTTTTCTACAGAGACAGCTACAAATGTGAACAATTTGATGGCTAATCGAGCTCAAATACGTCATGAACAAACACATCGACAATTGAAAGAAGATTTGATTGAACATATTTGGCAAAAATGGGGCCAAGGTAATTGATTACAACCGACTAAATTATTTTTTTCATCATGTCTTTTCAGTTTTTTTTTGAATTTTATGTTTTATTTTGCTTAAGTATATTCTACTTTTTTATTATTATAATATTACCTTTTGTAATCTTATGTTTTAATATATTAATTTTTGATTTTGCAAATTTTTTTTTTTATGATACTTAAACCGGTCTCACCAATGCAAACATATTTAGTAGGAGTATCATAAAAAATCTCAAACAATAAACAAACATTATAAATAATACTAAAGAATTCTTAATGATACTAAATGGATATCACCCATGTACATGCTCTTATACACGGATTTGCTCACTGTAAGATTTAGCTAAAAGATAAACCTTGTTTACATGTGAAAATTGTGTCGCCAATGTACTTTTGTTTACGATTCATGCCGATCCATGCAACAAGTGAAAATTGTGTCGCCAATGTACTATCGATTTTTTAATTTCACAATATTGCCCAAGAGAAACTTTTAATAGGCCCATTCTATGAAGGGAAAACGGCATATTCCTCCCTAAACTAAGTTGCTTTGGCTAATTCATCCCTGAAACTTTGTCTCGTGCCTAAATCCACATGAACTAACATAAAGTTTGAATTTCCTCCCTAAACAAAACAAATCCGGACTAAACCCACAAATCGTTAAACGCCGTTATTGTTCCGTTAACGAACATCTGACGAGGAGGCCACATCATCGATCTAAGCGACTGTGTTTTGAGGTGAAAACGGCCTATTCCCCCATAAACTAAGTTGTTTTGGCTAATTCATCCCTGTAATTTTATCTCATGCCCAAAACCCACATGAACTAACATAAAGTTTGAATTTCCTACATGCACAAAACAAATCTGGACTAAATTGATGGATGAAGAACCTAATTGAATAGACAGTTGCTGGGATTAAAGGTGTTTTAGGGTATGAATTCTAAGATTTTGATGAATTTTCAGATGTGTGCTTGAACAGGTTTAGTTGGAGCTAGATTCAGCACCTCCGAATCCACCAACAAAACTAACAAGTGGGAGATACGTTAGGCTCATAAGCCCATAGTGAAGAGAAGCGGAGCTGGCTCCGAATCAGGACTAAGTGAGGCGAGATCTCGGCATGGACCTGTGATGTAGGAGAGGTTAATGCGGACCTCGGACCGAATAACCTAGGAAGAGTATCTATATAAAGATGAGAGAAGACCTAGAAAAGGCATCGCCTACTTACTGGAAAAAACTCTTTACTACTTTATGCACTTGTATTCACAAGATCTAGTCAGCTGATCATTAACGGAACAGTAACATTGTTTAGCAGCTGGTCATTAACGGAACATTAACATCGTTTAACGATTTGTGGGTTTAGTCTGGATTTGTTTTGTTCATGTAGGACATTCAAATTTTATGTTAGTTCATGTGGGTTTTGGGCATGAGATAAAATTACAGGGATGAATTAGCCAAAACAACTTAGTTTATGGGGGAATAGGCCGTTTTTCTCTCAAAACACAGTCACTTAGATCGATGATGTGGCATCCTAGTCAGATGTTCGTTAACGGAACAATAACGGCGTTTAACGATTTGTGGGTTTAGTCCGGATTTGTTTTGTTCAGGGAGGAAATTCAAACTCTATGTTAGTTCATGTGGGTTTAGGCACAAGACAAAGTTTCAGGGATGAATTAGCCAAAGCAACTTAGTTTAGAGAGGAATAGGCCGTTTTCCCATTCTATGAAACCCATATGTATTTTTACCAACATAGAAAGCTAAAGACAGAATCTCCTTAATTATAGCTAGGTTTGAGTATTCGACTATTCTTAATTTCTTTTTGCTAAAGCTATTCTTAATTTCTTATGCCACCCCACGTCAATAAATTGTTAGAAACTTATGTATCAGGAGTCTATGTACCTAACGAGGGTGAGAAAGTAAGTATAATACTATTCCAAATTTTTCAACACAAAAGATTGAAACCAAATGGTGAACAAATGACGTCACTGACCTAAGTAGACAAAGCATGTACTAATAAAAAGTAGTTGGTGTTGTAATAGTTAGGTGATGACCGTTAGGTTTAACACCTAAGTTTCCAAATTTTCCCGGGAGACAAGAAGATTCAAAACACAAAGCAGAGAGAGAGAGAGAGAGAGAGTGAAATATCAATGGAAAAATGAAGGAAGAGGAGAGAGTTGGTTCGTCGTCGTCTTCTTCGTCTTCTCTTCCTGTGAGCTACGGAGTTGACTGCGAAAAATACGACTTCTCTTCCTCTGTCTCTTCTCTGTCTCAACCATTTTCTCCTGAAGGTTCAAGCAACAAGAGTCAAGTTCTTGAAAACAATTTTTCCTTTGTTTTTTCGTTGGACCATAACAACACTATCCTCATGTTTCCTAGAGATAGACCATGTTCTTGTCTCCACCATGTGTAAATCTTCTCTCTCTCTCCCTCCCTCTTTCTCTCTTGACTTCTCTTTTGTTGTTATGATTTTAATTTCTTGGTTTCTTGTGGCAGCTTCGAGTGGATACTACAAAGATGTTGTGGCTGCCTTTGTTAGCTTCCCTTATTCCTCTTTCAGACTTAAACCATCGTATCTTGTGGCAGGTCCGATAACTCTAGAGGCTTATTTAAACTGTGGTCTTCATGCTATAAAGTATATTTGTGTGAATTTGTACAATTGTGTTTCTTTTGATTTTCTTTAAGGCACAATATATTGATTTAGCTCTATATCAAATTTTGTGTTCGTAGTCATTTTTTTTTCTATGTATTATTATTTTGTGTCATTTTTTTTTTTGTAAACTAGAAAGTTCCCGACCAAAGTCTATACACCTCTCTAGGTCCGGACCAACTTTTCATATTTTTACCCGTCTCAGCTGCCACTCAATCTTGACCGCTTAGAAATTTCCAGAGTACATTTTCAGTCGAGCTATCGAACTCTGGTTACTATTTTATTTTGTTGTTGTTGCTAGTTAAATAACAACCATATTTTAGAAGTTCGCCCCTAAATTTACTAATAAAATATAGCCTGAAACTTTTTGCTTCACATGCTTTTACTATGATTTCCTTCTCTCATTCTCTCTAAGCCCGCCACACTCCTCACTCTTTTCCCGTGAGTCCGAAGTGACGACACAACCACAACGGTGACAGCGAAGGTGCGCCTTTGTCTCGACATATCTCTCTGCCTTTCTCTTCTCTTTTTTTCTTCTTTATCTCATGATTTTGGCTGCTCTCTTATGGTGGTTAGAGACTTAAGGGTTCGTCAACGACACTACACACGCACGTAAGGGCATACACAACGGCGAACCCTTTGGCCGAGTGTATGTATTAAAAAACTCAAAACAAATACAAAAAGTGAAAAAAAGTTGAGACTCGAGTGTAGCAGTACACCTGGGTATGAAGCATTAAAAAAAAGGAAAAAAAATTTCTGTCTCTACCTCTCTCTTATCTCTCTCTTTAACTTTTGCATTATTTTTACCTTTTCTTTAATTACATATATCCGCTGGTCAAGTGCTGCAATGTGTATGGTCTAATAAAAAGGAGAAGAGGAACGTGTATGATTATATTGAGAACTAGGCCCAATTAAAGCCCAATGGACTTGGTTCGTTACACATAAAAGGCATGTATTATTCCTCCAAGATTATTATTTTATTAATCAATCTGATGGTAACAACAATCTTGGTTCACACTTCACATTAAATAACGTTGCATTAAGGATATATGAATTCAGAAAAAAAATCTTTAATTCAGATTTGTATGTATCCAGAAAAAGGAAGGTGGATCATTTCAGTCTCAAAATTAGATTTGGAAAATTACGAAATCAGGTAGTAAATTTATGGTTTTAACACGATCGTCTTTTGTTGGAGTTATGTTGTGTTGGTACAAAAATGATACAAATCCCAATTTTTATTGACAATAGATTTTATGAAGATCCAACGACACCTAATAGTGCCACATGTGAAATCGAAATGAGAGTTGAGAAATAAATGTTCATCTGTTTTTGAGTGGCAAATTAATAAGAAAGTTAGTTTCTTTCGATTTTGGACCGCTCTCTTTCTACTGTCACTTACCTGTCCCTATTTATTACCTTTGTAGTTTTGATTTTGATTTTATTTTTTCCATTTCTCCTAATTATTATTTTTCGATTAATTAATTTTTTTTTTCTTACTAACACGAACTTCGACCACTCTACTAATTTAATTTCCGTGTTTTCATCCGAAAAATATGGGTTTTTTATTCCTCGTTGTAAACAATGGGTTTGTTTTACCATTCAAATTAATGTGTATTAAATGCAAATTATAGTTATCAACGATTAATCCAAAAAAAAAAGACAACTATGTAGAAACTAAGCATCTATTGTTATAAGAAAAAATAGATTATATTCAATGAGTTATAGAGAATATAGATATAGATTCTTGGTCCATAAAGTAAGTGGCAGAACCATACTGTAACCAAATTTAGTATCTAACCAGAAATATATGGATACGGTCAATTGATTTTTAAAGCCATAATAGTTTTTTCAACGGTAAAAAATAGTGATACAAAAATATATGTCAATACTTTACCTTTACTGTAAAAACTTACTAATCAAATTCATTATCATGTAGTAGTTTTTTTTAGTTAGCCCTTAAAAAGATGATAAAACCTAAACTGTGAATGCTTTATTAGTTAAACCTAAATTGAATAACGTTATTGTAACCTTGTAATAATGGAACATTGGAACTAAACAAAATAAAATTTCGATATAATCTGGTAAACAATAGACTCCTTTATTTATCAACTTTTCACACTCAATGTAACACGAACTTCGACCACTCTAGTAATAATGTCTCCAACTAGGTCTTCTCCGTATGAAAGTGATGGCATAAAAAATCTTGAAAAGTTTGACATAATGATGTTTAGTTATCGCATTTATTCTTTGCTCATCCGATTACTAAATACTCCCCTTTGTATCATAAAGAATGATTTTTGAGATTTTATTTTTGTATCAAAAAAATTGATTTTTATAAATTTTTATCAATTAATTAATATTAATAAATTGTGAATTTCAAAAATCATTAATTGAGAATTTTAAAATTTGATGAATTAATATTGGTTAATAGCTATGAGAATTGGTTTGGTATGAATAAATTGTGCATTTATAACTACTAAACATTAAATGTTTTTCTTAATTAATATGAAAACTCTATAAAATCAATCTTTTTGATACAGAGAGAATACGTTTTAACTAAGTCGATCCTGAAAATCTAGTGAGGAGTTTCTAAAACACTTTTTTTTGTTGTCGTTAAGCATGATTATAAATTTTTCTTTTTTTGGCATTTAACTTTCATTAAGCGTACCTTAACAAATGTTAATTAATTCTAAATGTAATAAAAGACGTGGCAAGAAAAAACTATATGAATAAGATGAATTTTGTCATTTTCCATGGAGACAAATGGGGCCCAGAATCTGGTAATGAAATCAAATGCCCATTGAATGTTTGCCTACCAAACAAACTTTTTTCCTTTTTATCTTCCTGTGTTTTAAAAATGTTGACACGATAAATTGTTCTGCGAATAGAAATAGCAAAAAACAAATAATGTTGCATGTAAAATGTAAATATGATTTTATAACTATGAAACGTAGATTAAGACATGTTCAGAATCTGAACATTATAATTCAGCAGTCCACTGTAGACTCCTTTATTTATCAACTTTTCACACTCAATGTAATTTATAGTCTTGAATATTTTTACTTTCATTTTTGTATTTTTTCTTAAACTACCAAAAAGGACTACCATGAATTACAGAGGCAAGCTTGAGTAAATGCGAAACGATTGTACAAAAAAAGTGAAAAATAAACATTACAAAAAATATTAAAATGATACAACATTTAACATAAGAAAAAGGAAGGCAGCATTCCAATAGGATGACAAATTAGTAAACCCTCATCGTATTGGAAGTGCATGCCCCTAAACCCTTATTTCAAAGTATGTAATTAACAAATTATAACACCCAAAAAAAATCATATAAAACAAAAACTAATTAAAGTTTCTTTTACATTGATCATATCTCCTTTCCAATCCATTTATAAAAAAAAACGTAAATTTTTAACTAAGGGAAAAAAGAAAAAAAAACGAAGAAAATTAAGGAAGAGAAAATATTGTCACCTTGTGTTGTTTTTGCGTTTGCGTTTTTGTGCCAAAACGTTTTACATGAAAGCGTCAGGGACCTTGAAAGTGTCAGGATCTTCATCTTGAATCCAACCAAACTTCTCCAAATAAGGATTCAAAATCGATTTTGGTGGATAATCACCAATGCAATGATTCCACACATTTCCTTTTGATTCACCAACAGTAAGATCTCTCACAACTTCCCAAACGCAGCTATTACACTTAAAACCAGCTCCAAAGCTTATCATAAACACTCTATCTCCTCTCTTCAATCTCTTCTTGGCCTCCATGTAAGCCAACACATACCACAAACTACTCGCTGAAGTATTCCCAAACCGGTGAAGAGTCATCCTCGCCGGTTCAATATCATACTCGTTTAAATCCAAGCTATGTCCAATCCCATCAATCACAGCTTTTCCTCCGGTATGAATGCAAAAATGTTCGATCCCGGTCTTAAAGTTGATTCCTGCCTTTAAAGGAGTCCCCGGTGGAAGATTCGTGGAACCCTTGCTAGGGTTTTGACGAATCTTGATTTTCTTGATGAGAAGCTTTAACATGAACCTTAAAAGCTCGGTTATAGGAAGAATCTTGGGTGTTATAACCTTGAGGTTGTCTACAAAAGCACGAGTGGCGGCTTTTGGTAGATTCTTCCCTAAGTAAAACCCGACACGGCCTTGTTCGTCTTCGGCTTGGATACAACAATTATAAGACTCCTCTCTAGCTCCATGGTGAGTCCGTACCATACACTTGAGCTTAAACATTGCATTCTTCTTCAAGCTACGTTTGTTAGTTAAGAGAATAGCACATCCACCGGACCGGAACAAACAGTTGGCTAAGATCATTGACCGGTTGTTTCCGCTATACCAATTAGGGCTCAAAGACTCGGAGGTAGCAACAAGAGCTAACTTGTTTGCATAGCTCTTAAAGATGTTCTTGACAATGTCTACGGAGATTAGACTCGCGCTGCATCCCATCCCGGTTAAGTTGAAGACTTTAACGTCGTCTCTCATCTTGTAATGGTTTATGATTCTTGAAGCTAAAGAAGGTGTTGAAGAGAGCATGGAGACATTGACTACGAGGATGTCTATGTCTTTAGGAGAAATTTGATTTCTCTCCAGGAGTTTTCCGATGCTGTCTACGTAGAACTCTTCCATCTCCGAGATCCCGTCTTGTAACGAAGCACGCTCTTCTCGACCTTCAAAGACAAGTCTTGGAGCGTAGGTTTGTTCTCCAATCCCTGAGCTTACTATTGCTTTGAGAAGGAACTTGTATTCGGTTAAGCCAAGGTTTTGGTTTCGATAAATGATCTCTCCGCTGAATTGAGTACTCACCATTCGATCATCAGAAGGTTTATGACATTGGTAGTCTAAAATGTAGCAATCTTTATCTTTCTTTGAGTCTATGAGTTTCCAGATCTTGAAAAAGAGGTAAGAGAGGAGAAGAGAGAAAAAGAGAAAGAGAAGATCCATAACTATTCCTTTTTTTCTTCTTCTTTGTTTTGGTATATTTGTTTGTTTGTTTTGGGCTTAAGAAGAGATGATGAAGTGTGTAAGATGCATGAAAATGAAGTGGAGATTGTAAAGGGGATTTTATAAGAGAATATATGAGAATGGATGAGGAAACGCCAGCTCTGATTTTCCCAGTGGGTTCTACACATCACCATTGAGTTGTATTATAGTATATTAGAAGAAAGAGAATTTTAATAAATTTTCGTTGAAGGTAAGAACAAGTTTAAGGTGATTTTTTTACTTAGGAGATTAAGTGGGGACATGTTGACGCGGAAGAAGACTTCACATGTTCCATCATTAAAACATAAGTGAAACTTCCTTACAATAAGTCCACCATTTACCATTTACCAAACCCTTTTCAATTTTTTTTTTTTAAAGTCCACCATTTACCATTATGTATTTCTTTCATATTTAATATCATTCTTGAATTTTTTGTCCTCTACAACTCTTTTACATTTGAAACCAGAGTTTATATACAATTTAAGAAAAAGATAGTCTCTCTCCTATATACGTTCTCAAACTCTCATTTCGTAACTTCAAATTAGGCATCAATCCGTTCGTTGGTTAACTTTGAATATCTATTGAATCCGTCGTAAATGCGAACCACTAAACTTTTCGAAAATCGCTAGTTATAAAAAATACGGATATTCAAAAGAATTTATAGGGAAAAAAAAAGATACAAAACAGTCTATGGGTGGGTACTAATAGATATTTGCTAATTTGCTCTAATGTTTAATTTTTAATTTTCATAGTTTTGAGTGATAAAAGAGTGTGAGTTACGTTGGATAAGAATGTGAACTTAGAAAGAAGAGAGTGAAGAGGAGACAAATAAAAAACACACAAAAGTGATAGTGTGAAGTTGTCTTAAGCCATCTCAACTCCCACCAACCGAATATGGCTTAAGTAAGTAATTACGTATCAATCTTAAATTACAAAAACCACTCACTCAACACTTTGGCTCACATATTCTGCGTGCGTCTCTCTTCGTACTTTCCCATCTTCTCTTCTGTCTATTGCCTTAAACACTTAATTTTACTTTTAATATTTTTCTCTCTTTCTCTACCTTAATTATATTATATTCATCAACAAAGTTAGGTGTGTGCATGTGTATGGATATTTATGTGTATTTATATATGCCTCCGAAATGACTTTCTATTTATGTATATTATAAATTTCAATATACTTCTTTCTATAACTAGGATTTTTGAGACTATTTCCGCCGTGTAAATTAGTTGCAGTGGCCAACTAAATACGGATTCAAATCTTCTTTGATATGATGTTTTACACTTTTAATTTATGATTTATTGATCAGAAATTATATATTGAATATATACATGTAATAATTTTATTGTAACTAGGTTTACTAATCAGAAATTATATATTGAATATGATGTCATTGTCACTAGGTTTTAGAATTTATATATTGAATATCTAATTAAATAAGTTTAAATAGAATGTTGATATGCTCGTAACAACTTTGATTGAGGGCTAGATTTTGGTGTTACAATTTCGTTTGGTTAGAGGATAAAGAAGGGCTTTCTATTTATGTATATCATGTTTGATTAGAGATATACGTTACATCAATATTTGTTTTGAACACTATCATAACCCATCATTATGTAGATTTTGGTGTTACAATTTCGTTTGGTTAGAGGATAAAGAAGAACTTTCTATTTATGTATATCATGTTTGATTAGAGATATACGTTACAAATGTAATATATGTTTTGAACAACTACCATAACCCATCATTAGTCATTCAAATGTAATATGTGAAAGAAGTAGAGTAAAGAAAATAGGGACATAGGAAACATATTGAAATATCACATGGCTTGCTTGGAAATTAAATTTTCGTTGCATAATATTATATCTTAACAAAAAAATGGTTAGACAGAGATTTCTAAAATTATTAGCTTGCTTCCAAACAAAACAATATTTATATCTGAAAAAATACTACGAAATTTCTCCAGCTTGATCACATTAATTACAAAACGAACAAGTTGTAGTATGACAACAAATAATTATTAGATATTCTAAGATAATTGTATTTTTACAACCCATTTGTGATTTGTTGTTACTGAAGTCACTATACGATGTTCTCAATCGAGTCTCACACCTTTTCTGTGAACGTTTTAGAATTTTACAGTCTATTTATCTTCTCAGACCATCTTTATTGATGGTCTCTTAATACAACTCTTATGTTAAGAGACATGTCTTATAATTCTTTTAACATAAAAATTGTCTTAAGAGACCATCAATAAAGATGGTCTCAGCAATTCATAAGTGATGATCCATTCACTATAATTATTGATCTCTTCGCGTCCATACATGCCTTTATTTGTTCCATTTTGATGAAAGTTGATAATTTTTTTTTTTTTTTTGAACACCTATGAAATGAAAGTTGATTGACGAAAAAAAAAAAGGTTGATTCCGATGCAGAATTTTATAAAAGTGAAGCTTGTCAGAGTTATGATTAACAGGAATATTGATCTTTCATTGAGATTTCAATGAAGAATTCCAGTTTAAAAAAGCATGGAAAAAGATGAATAGGCTAGTCCTAAGCTATTGACCCAACCCCTAGGAAGGTGCTTCAATTTCCACCCGTGAATCTTAAAAGATTCGATAACTATGGTTTTGTATGGGCCATCCTTTTTCTCTAAATCTCCATCATATTTTTTATCGTTAGTTATTTTTTTTCACCTATGATCGTTTCGTAATTACATTTTTTTCTTTTTCTTTTTTCCTTTTCTTTGTGCATTATTACTTGTTTGATGTTTAATTCATTTGTTTGTTGTTTTTCACTTAGCTTGACTCTCGTTTGTCTTCACTAAGATAATCTCTAACACCTTTAGTATGGAACAAAATTGGTCCTCAAAGATTCGACTCGTCCGTATTATCATTTGTACACGGTTTCTGGTGGCTCTTGGCCTATACGGCACCCGACCCTTGAGTAGAGCAATAGTTTTAGGCCACACAACACATTTAAGTTTAATGGCCTCATTTGGAATATTAATCGTAGCTTAGTGTTGTAGTTGACTTTTTTTTTTTTTTTTTTTTTTTCACTTACTTATTCGTTTGGGTCTATATATATATATATATATATATATATATATATATATATATATATATATATTTTTTTTTTCTTCAGTCTCTTGGATCGTTTCTTGAAACTTGTTTTTTTGGTCATCATATTCTTTTTTGTTTGGTCATCATATTCTTTTATTAAGTTTGTAACACTTTTTTAGTTGTCTATACAATTCGCCACTGAATATTTCCATAAATCTAAAAAAAAAAAAGATCTCTAGAAGTTCAGTCGGTGTTGTCTCATCTCTTAATTAAGATATTTCTTACAAGATTCAAATATTATTCTTTTACAATAACACGTAAATTTTTTTTACACTTTTCAAATTTTGTTTTCTAAATTAAAAAAGTCATCAGTTCTTTTTTGACTTTTATACATTATAGTTTGGATAAGATGATATTTAGATTATTGAAAAATTGGTTGTTTGATAGATAACGACGAACTATCTTAAATGCAGTCAACTAGGCTGCTTGAAATCTTAATTTAAACAAATTTCGTAATTACAAGTCTTCTACTGAAGTGAGGTTTATTTTGACTTCCGTGATAGATCGGACTTGGAGACTGAGATTATAAATGAGGAGACGACATTAATAGTCAAGCAGAAAGACTTCGTCCAATTTTCTTTTCATGCCGTGATAGTCCAAATAGATAAACATTCATAGTACTATAATATTAGTGACAATAAATAGTGACAAAGATTGATAACAACTCACTAATACTCTCGGCATCCATAAGGAGTACTTAACAATATGTGCTTGGTCAACGCTTAACACACTTGTCCAATATTGTTATTAAAAACTATTCAGTTTATATATTCTCCTCGTTTCAAAATATAAGATGTTTTACTTAAAACACATAAATTAAAAATATTTATTTTTAAAAAGTTCAGCTAATTATTAAAAACTATATATTATAATGAATCATAAAAATTAAATTAATCTATATTTTTCATAAAAATTTGAAAACGTTTTATATCATAAAAAAAGTTTATCCAAAACATCTTATATTATAAAACGGAGAAAATATATTTATAGGAAATATAACTAGACTAGCACTTAAAAGTCCTCTTATCTTATTAAATAATAACTAAAATTCAGACTTCTTGCGATGTCGCGGGGAAAAGATTTCAAAAAAATTTAAAGAGAAAAATATCAAACGAAAATTCATAATGAATTGAGACAACTTTGAAAAAAAAAAGTTTTTAACAATAAATCAAGATATATTTTACGAAAAATATGATAAAATAGCATAAATCTCAAAAGCATTTGTTTAGATTTATGTTATTATTAGAAGAACATTATGGTAAAAAGATTCGATCAAAAGTAAAAAATATTAAATGAAGAATTATAATGAGTAGACGAAATTCAATTTGTTGAAATATAATTATATAAATATATTCAATAAGACATTATGATAAAAATGTAATAATTTCTATTTTGTTATGTTAAAGAGAGACAATGGAAAAAATTTAACAAATAACCTAAATTGATTGTTATTTAGGAAAAATAAGATAATGATATAACAAAGTAGACAAGAATACAACTCTATATGAAAAAATATCAAACAAACAGTAATAAGAAATATATACAACGTTTCTAAGAAAATAGAAAAATATTTATAGAGTTAAATAGATATGAAATTTTAAATAGGTAAAACTTGTAAAAGACACAATTATTGGAACGAAGAGTTTGTGATAAAAACACGAATAAAACGAATATATAAAACTCTAAATGAACATGTATATATAAATTTAATTAATGTTCACAAAAAGCTTTTATAATGGAAAAAGTTGAAAGAGTTTACTAAATATATCAAAAGTTGTAATATTTCATCAAATAAACTAAATGTTGCAACAGTTCATCAAATATACCAAATATTGCAACGATTCATTAAATAAACCATAATTTACAACGGTTTGTCAAATATACCAAATGTTGCAACAATTCGTCAAATAAACTAAAGTTACAATGATTTGTAAAATAAAATCAAAAGTTGCAATGATTCGTCAAAGAAACTAAATATTGCAATGATTCAATTAAAGGGTTATAATATCATTTAAATACATTTTAGTAACTAAAAATTAAAAATATTAATTTATGAAAAGTTACATCGAAAGATGCAACTGTAGAATTAAATG